CACTAGTAAAATTTGAGCTTTTTTATAAGATGCCAGTATCACTAGTGTATAATTTCGGAGGTTTACAACAATTCCAGTTGTTTCATTGAGGTTAAATAATCAAACACTAGCGCAAGCACGACCGCGGCTGTTGCTTTGACTTGATAATTGGCCTTTTACATCGAATTATACAAGCTTGAAGACTCATTCTTTCCAGATAGGTTAAAGCATTATGTTTCGGGTTCAAGCCTATCCATATCTACTTCATTGTAAGCAAACGGATATTATGAATATCTTCACATATGAAGTATATGTGAAAACCACGTACATGGGACTGTATTTTGGATATCAATTTTTATTAAGTAACTCATTTAAAGTTATGATAAAGTGACTAAGTCGGTAAATCTGCTTCTTCAATGCTTGTTACTCATTTCCAAGCCGATTCTTGTATTCCGACAACTTGAACAATAAAGGCTAAAGAAAACCCGTTTTAACTCAAGATTAACTTATGAACGGAAAATTTAATATGACCTTTGTAGTTTAGAAACTTCTGGGTGCATTTTAAATATAGTAACTCCAACCAAAACGTGACATAACTCCACATTCTTCTGGATATTTATAAGAAGTTCCTCTTCAATGCTTATTGAGTAAAAAATTTTCAGTCTTTTTCTGGATCTACAGAGATTTTGCCGAGGGAGTTTGATGCAACGCATATTTTAGGTGTGTGAGAGAATTAATGCTTCTACCTGAACTGGTGTATCTGGTGTGGGGTTCCAACCTACCTGTCAGCTGTGAAATCTGTGTTATCTCGGCGAGAACATAATTTATGGATGAACCAGTCAGATTTAAGATAGCAGGTGTTGGATTTTGTCACGAAATTCATTCGTCGATAAGGCTAAACAGCATTTCGGCATTGTAGCTGATGTCACTTCGTGATCAGAACCCTTGCTCGAATTCCTAATTTCAACATCCAACCTTTGATTCTAATTCCAATTTCTCACACTAATTTATAACCCTTATTTTAACCCTAGTAAGTAATAGATGAACACTTACGAGTCCTTCAAAGATCACCCATAAATTGTGAATTCATCGTGATCTTATCACTAAACCATCATCAAATCAATAATTAAACAAGGAATGAATAGTGAACAGCTTCTTCAATTTGAATGATTTTGCACTTTTGTAGTTCCTTCTGAACTCTTTTTTTTTTTATAAAAGTCTTGAGATCGCAGTATTTTGCGTCCTGATATTATATTGATTAGTGGTGAGTTCCATCCAACTTTCTGCAAAATTTCACATCTTAAAACGGTCATAGATTATTTTATTTTCATAGATATACATGTATAACTGGAGTATGTATGGTATAGGTTAGGGGGGTGTAGTATTATTTATCTAAATTTTTATTTCATACCTTTTCACTATCATCTGCTTTATTTATATTTACATACTGCGTTTATTTACACACAGGTTTTACTCAAACTTCGTCATAATTCCTACACTAAACCAATAGGCACTATTTAATCGTCAACAATCGGTAATAACGATGGTGATGATAATAATAATAACAAGGAGAAATTCGAACAGTCTGTATCCATAGTATTGCGATTCCAATCAACCAACCATCACCATCACCGGTCATTGTATAAGTCATTCTGTATCGTTGTGGTTATTCTAATGTTACTATCAAGGTATCTGTATTCCATTTATTCACATCGTTCTCATTTTGATTTTCTTTTTCTTTCTTTTTTTTTGTTTAATCATGCATTTAATTTGAATTTATTTTATTTGAAATAGCTCATAGTTTATGCTTATTATGAATAGAATCTGTGATTTACAAAACATAAAAAAGGGGCATAACTTTAATTCTATTCTTAATGTTAGCCAATTATGGCATTTACTGTATGAAATTTTGATTATTGTGTATATTTTAAACAAAGAAAATGTAATAGAAACGAGATCATTGTTGTTATTATTATTAGATCAATCATAAGTAAATACAGTGCAAAAGGCATCACTGTACAATATCAGCACAGAGAGACGAAATTATCAAGATAAATGCTGGAAAGGTAGTAGTAGTAGTTGTTGTTGTTTTTATAACTTGTGAACCTGTGTGCTCTGTTTATTGTATAACACAACGGTACCGCTAATCAGAGAGCAGCGAATTATCGATCGAACCAGTGACGCATAAAACACGTGCGAGCAGCCCAGAGTCCTGATTGGTCTCGCCCCCTGTCTAGCCCAACCAATTAAGTCCAGAACACCAATCTCAGCCTCTACGATATAAATCATTTACTTCAAACATACAGGGTTTATAGTACCAATCAAACAGACCACAACGTGCCATAAGATAGAAAATAACATTTATACAATATTTGGCCAAAAGTGACTGTGAATGAAGGAGGTGGTGATTAACAGACAGGGAATAATTCAAGAACAGTAAATCGTATAATAATAGTTCATAGGTCAAAATAAAACTCATAATAAGAGGGACATAAATATGAACAGTCTAGTTACATCACAAAATATACTCATAGTATCGGTCCATAAACGGATCCCAAAAATTACTATTCATTATTCTTATCGGGACATAACAGTAGTGTAGTGAACAGAACACGGGTGGGGACAATCGAATGTACTTAACACAAAATTACAGGAATTGTTAATAAAATCTAACAATCATGAAGTAAATGCTTAATTTGCAAAATGTCCATCAATTGCCTCGAAATGACTCAGACTTCATTGTTCTTGCATTTTCATACAAATTACATCCTGTTTCTATTCTTTACTGTTTGATCCTTCTATCTCTCTGCTGCCAGACCTGTTCACGACTAACATCATATACTACTTATGTTAATATAAGTGGCACACACTAATAGAAGTGGCAGTATCACAGGGCATAAGATTCGAATCGCTTGAAAATAGCTATAAGAATATATTTAGTTAGTATTAATATTGTATAATATCCTACATATAATGTACATACGAGGTTTTTCGTATTGTGTAGTCAGTTCCTCTTAATTTAACTAACCTACTCTTTTCTGTTCCACTGGCTGAACGAATCAGAACTCAAGAAGCACTGGATATCGATATTTCGTCCTAATTTGTGGAACTCTTTAGGAATTTGGTTATCGGGATAAAACCTTTAGATAACAAATCGCTTGTTAACCAATGGATTTGAGTCAGCCAGTTGATTCTTTTAACTTTATTCCATCCGTAATATTGTACGATAAGCATCTAATGACATCCGTGAATAAAAGCTTCCTCAATTTCGACATAATTTTAACTGAGTACTATAAATGATAAGAAAAATGAACATTTTATTATGCCTATTATGATGAATTAGTGAATATTTATAGTATATGACTCAGGTCACACTTTTTGAGCACGTACCTGATGCACAGTAGGAAAATGAATTATCGAATCCATGCCGTTGTTCCGTAGGCTAAGCATAGAACAGTTTACTAGAACTGGGACTACAAGAGGTCACTCGGTGATTCTATATTTTTGGACAACATATGATATCTTTGAACAGAGGAAGAAATCACTAAAAACATGTGGTTTAGTAATAATTACGTAACGTATAATGTCAATATACTCATGTCAGTTATAACCAATATGGAGCCTAACACAAGCACGCATTAGCTCAGGCTATTATATTACATCGGTACAGTGATTAAATATACAAAGCAAAGCAATAGTATTAGTGATCGTGAAAAAGAAAAGATGAACGGACCGTTAGGAATTTGGTTTTGTTGTATCCGCGTTCTCTTATAGACTGGGATGATCAGAAGTCGGAATCAGTCATATAGTATTACGTTCAGTTCTCATTTCAGCTAGTATGTTTGAGCTATTGTCTATGTGTTGGCGGTTCTTACCCTTTGACATATGAAATATGATGAAAAAAGAAAATCCGCTTTTTTTTATGAAATCAATGGCAGTGACCAAAAAACTATAATTGCGCATCGAAATAATTTTATTTCATACAATAGTTACAAACAAATAAAAAGAATAGTGGAAAACGAAGTGGATTCATCCTAATCGGTAAATACTGTCCAAACTCAAATGTTGTGTATGCGAGTGCCTTTGTTTTGATTGAGAATAACGATTGGCTGGTGTTTAGATTCAGTTGAGTTCTTTAAAACTTCCGACCAGATATCGGTCCCTAGAATTTTTTCATCTGATCGGGATTATAAATATTAGAACTAAGTCAACTTGTATACGCGTGTCGTATATTTGTCTTTTTATAAGTCAGACTAATTAATTTCAAAAGTATCCCATCTAATTGTTATTTTGGAATGATGAAGATAATACAGAGTAGGAAATTTACTTTTTGGTGATATTATTTTCAAGTTTCCTGTTCATCAGTCGATTGGCTTACTTGTTTTGAATGGGCCGTTGGACTAACCACAATTTGATTGTACAATCTTTAAAGGACTGATATTACTGTGACATTTGAATCTACGTTACCGTCAAGATATTTGGTTTACATTACAATCTATTCGCTTGAATTTAAATAGCATTAAGGACTAGATAACCTGATATTGGTTATGTTCAGTGATCATTGAATTCACAATGAATGTTCATAGTGTAGCGCATATGTATTGGGTGACCCTTTGTACGAACAACCTGGTTAAAGCGCCATACATTCACTGTTTCATCCTCTTAATTTCGTAAACAACAGTAATGCCTTAAAAAGGCAATGAGTAGGACTTCCCTAGCAGTGGCTGTATACGCATGACCATGTGAGAGCATTTCGAGAGGAAAAGTTAACTCTACCCATCATCGGCCATTTTGGGGGGGGGGTAACTAACATACTAGGACATTTCTAAGGATATTTAATTGATTCTGTTTAATATAAATGACATTAATGTAAAAAGAAGAGAAAGATAGAGAAAAAAAAGAGGAAGAATATATATTTGTAAAATGTCAACAAAAGAATTGAAAGTCAATGGATTGTTTCACATGGCAATCTAGTTCAAGTTGGTTTTCTTTAAAATATAACTGGAAAATAGGTACAATAAAAAAAATGTTATATAATAAAGTATTCTTCCTCTCCCTCTCTCTCTTTTCTTTTTTTCGTATAAACAATGTTCATTTATAGAGTTCGATTGATTTTTTTTTCTTCACATAGATACATAAATATTGATTTATTTATTAATAATTACATTATCAAATATTCTATCAACATATTCAAGTGAAGTTTTTATTTTATCATACATTTCATCTAATGTTTGACGTACATCATGATGAATAGGAACAAATATTTTAGGACAATATATATCTTGTGTATTAATAACTGGAATATGATGTATAGTTTCAAGGGATTGACGTAAATTTTCAATTTCATGTACTTCACAATGAAACTGTAATAAGTTGAAAAAAGAAGAAGATAATATACATAAGTAGTGAAGAAGATTTGTAGGTCAGGTGGATGATTTTGGTGAAGTTTTGTTCTCTGAGCTGGATGGTTTGGTCGTGGAGCTTTCAGATAGAAGTCTATCTGAAGTTTGTGCTGATGATGTCGTTCAGAAGAACAATGAAAGCTCCACGACCAAACCATCCAGCTCAGAGAACAAAACTCCACCAAAATACATAAGTACTAAACAAATGATGACAAGACTATAATTTATGAATGAACTAATCAGATTTAGGATAACAGGGTGTTGGATTTTAATGAGAAATTCACTTAACTATTCGTCGAAATAGCGTCTTGACATTATAGCTGATGTCAATTCATGATGAAAGCCTAACCTTAACTATCAACTGTAAATCGTCATCTTTATTCTTTAAACTGTTTTATAACCTTCATTTGGCCGTATTCAGTAGATAGGCGTTCTCAAGATCACTTTGGTGTCACTCAAAGGTCATCCATAAATCATAGTCTCATCCAAATGACAAATATGATTATTTTCTCTATCTCATTAAGAATCCGGTGAGGATACCGAAAATTAAAACTTCATATTAAAAGAGAGGTGTAAAAGAGAATGGATGAGGTAAATCAATCCAATATTGAATAGTAGATATTTCTATTATCTATAACGGTGATATATACTACTACTAATTATTCGTAGCTGTTTTGATCGGATGTAAATGGTATTATTTAACAGTTAAAGTAAAACTTCATTTGTAATCGATCATTTATTTGTTTATTTAAACACATAAATATTGGTACAAAGGGGCACTGAATACATATGCGTTACACAAGTCACATGATTTATGTATGGGTTGTGATACTAATCGGGTGCACAGACCAAAGCAGGTGGTTTTGTTTAGGGGGGCACGCCCGGAGCCTTCGAATTAAAGGTCTAACCCACAAGGCAGTGGAGCAACATAAGAAGATAAAGTCCCATGGTAGCCGGTGACTAACAATAAGTCCATACACCATTTGTCCCTTCACTATACTGGAGCCAATATGCACTATTGGTTTGGAATCAGGGTTTTCCAACTCCACCAGGTGGATCCTTCATATCCATCAACCTGGTTAAAGTGCCGGATAATCGCTTTTCGTTCTCTGAATTTCGTAAACGACACCCCGTCACGAGAAGGCAATGAGTAGGACTTCCCTAGCAGTCATTGTATGCACGTAGCCATATAAGAGCATTTCGAAAGGGAAAGCTCATTCTCCTCACCTTCAACCGTATCAAGGCATTTGGGGGCTGGTCGTTTATTCAAATAAATCAAGACATTTGTTACTCGATTCGGTATTCTAGACAATGGAATGATTGGATAACAATAAACATTTCGTTTTAACACTTTGACAGTATTTTCAATTCATTTGTATTGAACCTACTAAATAAAATCAACAATTATCTAAATCTTATGCTAAATTCTAATAGTTGGTTTTATAAACTAAGTCTCAATTCATAAATATAACTAAACTGTATTTTGTCAATTACAATTACACACAATCTGAATAAACGTACATACATTGCCTTTGAAGTAGATTATAAAAATCTAATGTGCTATGGTGTGTGTGTGTGTGTGTGCATGAAGTTAAGATAGATTAAGCATGTTCCATCATCGATATTGTCAGTTTGAGTGTTTTGTAAATTATTTATCAAATAAACGTTTATTCAGTCAGCTTTAAGTTACATCTTTCTCTGAATTAGTTAATGATAATATTCAACTTGTAGAAACTGTATTATGAGGAATGAAATTCTGACATAACTTCAAAAAACAACATAGTAATTCAATGTGATTTAGAGTTTAAATGGTTTGGATTATTTTTTCTGGTAAGCGTTTTTTTAACGAGTTAGTTTTCTACGGGATGGGGATGCTAACCCCATGCCCAACCCTCCTTCTTTACCCGGGCTTGGGACCGGCAGTAACCCTATTAGAGCTACAGGCGGAGTAACAGACATTTTGTAGCCGAAGAAAACAATAAAACAAAACGGTAAATCACACTTTATAGAACTATATAATCACCTAAAATGAGTCAAGTTTGGTATGTTTAGTGAAAAAGAACATCACAAAAAGGTATTTAACTTTATAAACGACATCATGCAAAACTAAAGACGGTTAGATCGCTTACATGATAATTCTGATCTTCACTAGAACTTAATTCAACTTCTTTCGCTCGATTTCAATGCCCAAATTAGTTGCCGCATCTAAATCTGATAACTGCTTACTAGATTTAGCAGAGACAGTGACTAAACCAATATGATCGAAGAACTTGTCAGCTATATCGCCAGCAGGAACAAGAGAGAAACTTAAAAGAAATTACAGTGAATGAATAAATTACCCATATTTTTTTACGATAGAACAGACACGTTGACGTTCATTGGCAACGTGTTTAGCTCGACTTTCTATAATCACAAATAATCCACCGGGAGCCTTTATTTCGATTATATACGGTTCAATTTGATTATCTGTACTTAATAGTTTTTCGAAGGTAGAATAGGGGACAGATTTTGTTTTAGCCTCAGCTAAAACTGCAGCTAATTTTGAATTTTTCTTTGGATCACGGATTCCTCCACCATCTACAATTATTATTTAATAAAACCGATGTTTAACTTACCTCTAACTGCTTTCTGTGCAGCCTTAATGTAATATAGTGCAGTTTGAGCTTTTTCACGATCACCAGCTTCTTTGATATGTTTCACATTTTGCCAGTGAGCATGACCGGCAAATCGTTTTATTTGTGTCGAGAAAACATTAATCTTATTTACAAATAAATGAGCTGGAATTTGAAGGGTACGATCAACAATGTACATGGGAGATAATAATCGATGCGCAAATAGTACAAACTTAAGTCTACTCATTTTATTTCCAGTAGAAAATTGGTGATTTAATATTTTTCAATGAAGATAAAAGAGAAGTTGAAAATAGTAACTTGGATAGTACAATGATAGTTGGTCTGAAATGAAATTAGAAAAGTGAAAGTTGCAGTATGATCTAAAATGTGTTATATAAAACAATTTTAATTTTTCAGTGAAATAACAACACTTACTTGTACACTATGGTTTAAGTGATTTATTCTGATTAGCATGTTTTTTTCTTAACTAAGTTCCTTTCTACGGACTGCTAACCTCACACCCGACCCTCCTCATTTATCCAGGCTTCGGATCGGAAATAATCTTCAAAAGATATCCAGACGGAGCAATATTCAATCGACAAAACACATAATTAGTACTCTTTATAAAGTCAGAAGTATTTTCTAATGATCTATGTAGAATAAAGAGTAAACTATGATAGAAATACTGCCAATCTTTATTAGGTAGACGAAATGAGATACAAAGTTTGTATGCTAATAACTCTAAAGTGTCTTTCAATACAAACGTCAAGACAGTCCCTACTGCAAAGATATGATACTACAACAAACACCATCAAGATGATAGTTATTTATAAGGTTCATAATTCATTTATTTATTTATTTATTTGAACACATAAATATTGGTACAAGAGAGCGCCAATATATATGCGCCACACAAAACAATGGGAATTCGAAGAGAAGTAGAAAGAGAAAAAAAAACTAAGGAACGCAAAAGAAAAAGAGAGTAATGACGAAGAGGTACAATCAGAAGAAATCTTTCAGGTAAGGGAGACACAACCACTTTTTATGAAGAAAGTAAAAGAAGGTTACAGCAGGATCGCCACTGGCTTCTATTCTGAGCCATATCTGATAACGTCTCTAGCCACTGTGTAGCACCATCTCTCGGACCCCAACCAGGGAGTCGTGAAGGACCAACACAAGCCAGTCCTTTGCAGCTTTCTTTCATGCCACGACACCATGTCATGCACTGACCACCTCTCCGCTTCTTCCAACCAGTCCCAGAGTCGGCAAATAATGCACGACGTGGAATTCTCTGGGACGACATTCGGAGAACATGTCCAAGCCACCGAAGTCGGTGTTTCAAGATGGTGACACCAATTGAGTTATCATCTCTGTGCCCGAACACACGATGCCGAACCTCTGCATTACTGACATGGTGTTGCCACTGAATGTCAGCAATCCTTCGGAGACAGCGATGATCGAACACAGAGAGTCGTCTAACGTCCTCAACTCGGAGAGGCCAGGTTTCACAAGCATAGAGCAAAACTGCTCTCACCGACGCGTTGTAGATCCGACCTTTTACAGCCAGACTAACATCACGAAGGCGCCAAAGGTGGCCCAGATTGGCATAAGCCGCTCTGGCTTTCACTATTCGTGCATTGATCTCATCACTCACACCCCCACCAGCACTTATGCAGCTACCCAGATACACGAACTTCTCAACTACGTCTATCTGCTCACCATCCAGGGTGAGTACAGGATTAGAATCCTGCCAGTCTTGTAGAAGTACTTTGCACTTCGAAGGTGCAAAGCACATACCATACCTACGGACACTGATTGCCAACTGATTAAGTGCGGATTGCATGCCTTGGGCATTATCGCACAGTAAGACAATATCGTCCGCATACTCAAGGTCGAGAAGTCTTTCTCCAGGCAACAGATCCACACCACCATTACTTACATTCATCAGAGCTGTTTCCAGAATGTCATCGATGGCAAAGTTGAAGAGGAATGGTGAGATTGGGCAACCCTGCCTAACCCCACTGCTCGAATGGAACAATGGAGAGAGGTGGTTGTATGCCCTCACTCTGCCTGAGGTGTTTTTATACAGGGCTTTTAGGATGTTAATAAACTTCTCAGGCACACCCTTCTTCAATAGACAATCCCAGAGAACAGTCCTGTCCAACGAATCGAAGGCAGCCCTGATGTCAAGAAACACTACGATTGTTGGCCTTTGAAAAGTATGGCGGTGTTCTAACATTTGGCGGAGGGTGAAGATATGATCAATACATCCTCGACCAGAACGAAACCCAGCCTGCTCCTCGCGAGTCAATCTTTCTCGGGTTTTGAACAACCTACGAAGAATGACGGAAGCCAATAGCTTGGACGCAATCGGAAGTAAACTTATCCCCCGATAGTTGTTACAAGAACGACGTGAACCCTTTTTAAAGATAGGGACAACTATCGACTCATTCCATGACGTTGGTACACTCTCTAGTTCCCAAACCTTTGTAAACAACGTCGTCAATTCCTTAGTCAAAAAGTCACCACCATCTTTAAAAAGAGCCGGAGGTAAGTCATCTGGGCCAGGTGATTTGTAACGCTTCAAGAGTTGGAGTTCCTTGCGGACTTCCTCCTCATTTGGTGGATCAGTCGTCACCGGCCATGGAGGGCAGGACAGTCTGACCGATGTTGCCGGAGCAGCAGGCCAGTTGAACTGCCCTTCGAAAAATTCTGCCCATCGTCCAAGACGTCGATGGATGTTAGTGATTGGCATCCCATCATCCTCGCAGATTGTTTCACTCACACCAGACTTCTTGCTGCCAGTGGCTCGGATGAGTTGGAAGAGCTTCCGGTAGTTACCAGATGCAGCTGCTGCTTCCAGCTCATTAGCACGCATCGACCACCAGGCTTCTCGGTCCTTACGCAAGCTTTGCCCAATTTCCTTACGTAACATCCTTCGTTTATGGTCAAACTCACGGTCACCCGGAGTAGACCGACGGGCTTCAATGAGTTGTAAGGAACCAGAAGAAACCCAGTGCTTAAAAGCGGGACGTTTCGCAAACCCACAACTGACTGTTCCCGCCATTTTCATGGCGTCATGCAATTGCAACCAATGCTCATCTATACTTTTCGGTGGAGTGGTAGCTAGCCTAGAGGCTAGCTCGGTTCGATACTTACTTGCAACAGAAGTTGCAACCAGCTTGCTAACATCAATCCGTTGATGGCGTTCACTTCGTTGTCCACTGAAAAGTAAGGCAAGATTGGCGCAGACCAAGGCATGGTCAGAGTCCAGATAGGTACTCCAAAAGGAGCGGCAGTCTTGTACACAACCACGCCAGCGGTAGCTGATCGCGATGTGATCAATCTGAGTCCAGGCTTGAGATGCAGAGGGAGGACGCCAGGTGGCACATCGGCGATGACTGTGCCGAAAGTTAGTGCTAGCCAGAAACAGGTTGTGGTCTGTGCAAAGTTGCAGTAGACGGTCCCCGTTATCTGACCTGCGACCAACGAGTCCCCATCGGCCACCTAAACGACTCTCTTCTGTGCCTAGACGCCCGACCTGAGCATTCAAGTCTCCGGCTAGTACTACAATATCTGTCGAACGCACTTTCTGGAGAAGAACTGATAACTGGTGGTAAAACTCATCCTTGATTGCATCCGGGCTGCAATCTGTCGGGGCATAGGCGGAGATGACGAAAAGACATCGTTTCTCACGCCGATTTCTTCTCACTTTGATGGAACTTTCTAATCTAACAGCACATAACCGACTGTTAATGGGGATCCAATCGACTAGTGCTGCCTCAGCTCTAGCGCTTAGTGCGACACCAACGCCAGCAAGACCAGACGAAGATGCCACAGGGTCCCCGGATAAGCGCACGTAAAACAAGCTTTTCGAAGCGACAGATGGAGATCGAATTTGTAGTACTTCGCCAGAGTCTTGAATACGGGTCTCGGATAGACAACAAACATCGATATTAAGACTTTCCAAAGACATAGCCAGCCCTATCTGTTGTCCGACCTGCATAAATGTGCGAACGTTGAAGGCAGCCAGTTTGAATGGTGCACGTGGTTTCAGAAAATCTGCTTCAGTCCTCGTATTCGGTGGTAACATACAATTTTCAACCGGACAGTGACTCGAGAACGTTTAGATACAGTCGGATTTCCACCAAAGACGAGCCGCTGTATAAGTATAAAAGAGGGTGAATAATGTGGAAAATAATAATAATAATGATAATAATAACAATAATGACAATAATAGTAGTAATAATAATATTAGTATTAATAATGACAATAATTGTAATGATAATAATCTGAATCAATTGTTTGTTTTTCAAAGCGACAAAAGTAATTTCCATAGACATAAAGAGTTCATCATAATTCATAAAGGGAATTAATTGCATATAAAGTTTTTAACCAAGATAATTCAGATCTGTTGGCCAAACACTGTCTGCAACAACCATGGTAGAAGAAAAATCAGCTTTAAGTTAAAGATGCTGGAGGTGAATAGGACACACATTGCAAAAATTTCAGAACTGCATCACAAATCAAACCCTAACTTGAAATCCTCATGGCAAAAGGAAGAGAAGCAAACCAAAGAATACATTGCACCGGGAATCGGGGGTAGACATTTATTTATTTATTATTTATTCGAACACATAAATATTGGTAGACATCAAAAGAATGAATAAGACTTGGCAACAACTGTACTGGAGACTTAGGTAAGAAATAGACTAGAGATTGTTGGTCGGTGCTCTACGAGGTGCCTTTAATGCACCACAAGTAGTTGCTGACTTACGATGTTCGGTAATAAAACAGCCAGCACACACAACTGTGAATCTTTTAAAAGTTCAGTCAATAATTAGTCTTCTCGATTGATTTCCCTTCTAAGGACTAAGAAAATATCATCGCTAGTGCATGGCACATGGGAGCCCGTTAGCAGGTAGATTTTAGGGTTACGAGAAAATCCGTTTTATCATTCTTCCTGAACTAATTACTTGTTCTAGCATAGAAAGTCATAATGACATTTAATACAGACTAAATCCGAGATATAAGCTGGTAAAACACTATACCGATGTGTGACGGTTTCAAACTGTGACACTAGGTCCAATAGATTGTAGGCAGAGTAAGCCACAACCAACATCACTATAACACTTATTTTCGAACCGGTTTAGTTAGTTTATTATTTATTTATTTGGACACATGAATATTGATACAAGAGAGCGCCAATATATATGCGCCACACAAAACAATGAAAATTCGAGAGGA